TGTCAAATAGTTTCTTGGAAAACACGTTGGTCATTTTTTGAAGTGTAGAAGTTAGATTTTTGCCATTTTCCTTCGTTTTGTATGCGATCATTGCAGACCGTATGCGCTCGCTCTTCAAATGATTCGCGATAAAGATTACGATCAGGTTGCTGACATGGCAGTACAAGAGGAAGGCGAAAAGCAGTTGAACGCGCTTATCTTGGCTGCTCGCTTTTACTTTTACCGGAATCAGTTGGATAAAGTCAGAATTTATTCAGTTATCTTTGTTTTTGTTACATAGAAAGCATGATACTAGAATTTTCTCATAATGAAATTGATCTCAGTTTTCGTCTTGCGTGGAAAAGTTTGATAAGATATTCCAAGCTCTATCGGATGAGGAGAAAGAAGAGAAGAAAGATCTACTGAATGCCAGGCATATTGTCAGCATTGAAGCTGGGCGTACTTCTGACGAAGTCATGAAGTAGGTTTTTTCTTGGTTCTAGATCCCTATCTTCTACTGTGAAACGAAGACTCAAGGGCTTACAACGCTGCTGTGGAACAAACTAAATCGAAAAATCCTGATTTCAACGTGATGGCTGGTTTTCGTTTGGTTCTCTGCAACGATACTCGCACTGCCAAGGAAATGCTCTCGTCGAATGACATCAACACGCCTAATATGAAGTATGAGAGTTTTAATACTCAATATTGGATCTTGTTGGCGTTATTTCTAGAAGAGCTTCAGGCTGCTGTATCTCACTCTGCAGATTCTGTGTACTACAGGACAGGATGGCGCACCAGACATGGCTCAGTTGCACAACAATATTTTGGAGCTGGAAAAGTTTGTATCTGAGCTGGAGCCCAAGACTGGATACGCATTATCTCTACTAGCCAAGGTAAATTTTTGACGATAGCTATCGAAGTAACTTTGTGATGCTGAGGTGTTGCTGCGGCACTACGACTTTTGCAATAAAAATATGCATGTGGCTTAGTTTGCTAATAAATATTGTCTACTCTCTACAAAAATTATCCGTTCCTTTCCTCTCTCTTCCACCTTCTTCTCTCGACAATGCCCTTTTTGGCCAAATTTTCTCAATTGCTCTTGCGGAAAAACTGCAATCCTCACCACTGTGACCAAGTGTAACTGCACAATAAGCATCTCTATCTGATTTGTCGCTGTCATAACGTATGCGCGAGTTTTACTAGGTTATAATCACATACTCGTATTTCACTGGTTGTGTGAACATTTTTATATTTTATAAAGATATGTACATGGTAGAAGCTAATTTATAACCTTGATATCTTTGTCATTTCAATCTTGAGAAGATCACTTACAGATCACTGCGACGTTCAGCATGGACCGATCTGCTCAGCTTATTTTTGAAGAAGTTTTTAAACTGGAACCTTCTGAGTCCATTCACTTTTTTGATCGGAGGTTGGCCAACTCTACCGTTTATGTGATTTCGATGATTCAGAATTTTGCTTTAGCTGTATTGCTGCTTCTGGCGCTGATGCAATCGAGAACTTGAAGAAGTGTATAGAGATTGAACCGCATCATGCGGAAGCTCATTTGATGTTGGCTAGCTTGTTGATGAATGAAGTTGGAACTAAATCAATATCCACGTAAGTTTCTAGTTTTGAATCGTACTTCGGTTGCTTTGCGTTTCGTAAGCTTTCGCTCAGGGAGGAGTACAATGCGATCGATGCACATCTTTCGACCGCTCTTTCTACTTTTGCTGATAATGTAGATTTCCCGGTTGTGATGGGTGTTTTCCGCTTAAAGGAAGTTTTATCGGCCAAGAAAAAAGTTGCCGCAGTTTTATCGTCATAAAGTGTTGTTACGCTAGAGTATCTCATTACTTCGGTTTGTTAGCTTTCTTGTCAATGTTTGCTCAAATTCTTCAGCGTCGGTGTAAATGTTAGTTATTAGGTGTTTACACTGGCAGTTCTTCATTGATTCGTATTTGATCAAGCGTGTATTTTTT